ACTTTTTGATTCCCAGGAGCCTGAGTCCGATGAAAGCCACCTAGGATCCATCGGAATCAGATCAACTTGGGGAACCCTGCCATTGTGATGAATTGTGCGGATTTGGTGGCGCTGAGTCTGATGAGTCCATTCTGATGAATCCTAGGTAGGATTCGTCGGAATGGATAGGTCCAATCTAGAAATCCGTCGGAATGGAGGTGTCAAATCCAGAAATCCGTCGGAATGGGAATGTCAAATCTAGAAATCCGTCGGAATGGTGTATGTCAAATCTAGAAATCCGTCGGAATGGGGTATGTCAAATCCGGGAATTCGTCGGAATGGGGAAGTCGAGACCAGGTCAAATCCAGAACACAGGATAACACCGGACCGGACACACCTTGGTTTTAAGTGGTGGATGGGAACCTGCAACCTCCTTGAACTATTGAATGAATCCTTTCCCGACAGTTAAATCTCCCTTGCCCAGGTCATCTCTACCAGACCGAGGCTCGTTCAAGGCTCAGCGGCCTGCAAACGGGTAGAAAAGAAGCGGAACGCTTCGAGTTTGTCTTGCACCCTTTCAACTTTGCATCCTCAAGCACGTGCAAACCATCAATTGGTTGGAATAATACCTTTGCAGGATTTTGCTCTAAGACTTTAAGTCTTGGGTCGTTTTTGGTCTTAGTGCCTGACTCTCGATGGGTAAGCGCAAACCGTCGAACGGAAGCCAAACAAACCAAAAGACAAAGCAGCAGAAAAGCGGAGATGCGGCTCCCAAACCAGCCTATGTCCAAAACATCACAACTTGGCCACTCGCCTGTTCCTCTAATGATGGGTCTTTGCCTTTCTTTTGCATGTGCTGAAATCTCTTTCGCTAACATGCTCAGCCAGCCTGAGTGAGGATCGCTGAGAACATGATCTCAGAAGGTGGTGTCGATGCATACCTGACCAATAAATATTCGAACAAGGCACCGGGGCAAAGAGAGGTGATTGTTGTGACTGGTTGAATCTCTTGACTGGGGCAATGAAATCAAAGACTCGTCTAATTGATTTGAGTTTTGGAAGTTCGACCCTGATTTTCCTTTCATTCGAAGTACGGCCGATTGAAAAAACTTGAAAGCGACTCTTATCGTTCAGGCTGCAATGCAGGACTTCGCAAAGTGGTTGGACACAACCTTTGAACCGGACCCGTCGCCAAAGCCTGAGCTGAATTTTTGATGATACCCAACTCTTAGTATTAGTCTAGTGCTGCCACATGCTGCCACCATCCTTCCCGGCCAGGAAAACATACTGCACCGCCTCCTGCTTGGACACTGCCGGCCCGTGCTTAGCTCGACCCTGGCAGCTAAGCTGGAGACCGGACTTTGGCTTGGCTGGATGCAGTGAGCCGGATCAGCTTTTGCTGCTTTCGGAGCTTATCTTGTCGGAGTCGTTCCTTGGAAACCTTTTGGTTGCGGTTCAACTGCCTGTCGTTCCTGTAGTGATTCTGATTTGTGGTATGTTCCCTGGCGTCAGGTTTCGCACAAATGCAGACCTGGGAGGGGTGGAGAAGATCTCAATCACGAAGGTGTCAAAGGAATGGCTCGAGCGTGAATACACACCTATGAAACCATTGAACGGTTGCTCGCTGGTCAAGCTATGTATGTTTTTCCAAGGCGTTAGGAAAACACAATGCTTTCGCTAATCCTGGGCAACCCTTGAACCGTCAAGGTACTTTGGCTCCACCATTTCACATCGCCTTTGTGAAGGGCTGGCGGAGATGTTTGGCACTGTTGGGGATCTGTCAAGCAATCCGGGAGCTCGGGTGCATCGCCGAGATTCCAAAACATGTTAAGGAGCAAGCTTTGGGTGAATAAACTCCCAGCATCGTTGCCACTATCAACGGTTCCGGATCGCTTTTTTATGCAACTTTCAGGACAGCTTTGCAACCATCTACTGCACGGTCGTCAAGTTTGACTCCATGCGGGGCACAGTATTTGCCAACCGGGGAGCCTAGGAAAAACAACATGATGGACCACTATTGTTCGTCTATCTTCAAATTGAGTATCATATTTGGGGTAACTTGTAAGAGATGACTCCCCCCAACAAACTATTTGATAATATGTTTTTGCCAGCTCGGCATGCTTGTGGCTAAGGAATCACCCTCCAGGCAACCCAAGTCCGTCGAGCACCTCACTGCTTTAACCTCCTTCGACAACTCCGCGTGCTGCAGAAAAGCAATGCGACCTCAGTGGAAGGACACTTCGCAGATGCATGGCCTAATTGAGCCAACAGTTGGATTCAACCGATGAGTTTCTGTTTTTCTAGTCGGTATCAAAGGCTTGCCAAAACTTACGGACCCAAACAATTGTCTCTCTCACTTGGCTTGCTTCAGGACTGGGAGAGTGAGACCTCTATTTGCAAAGCCTTTGCTATCGGCAAGACCGAGAGCAAAGCGGTCGTGCAGCTTTGCACTGGGATGAACACTACCATCCGCGAGAAATTGGAGGAGGCTGTGAGGCGGTATGGGATGAGGGCATTTATCTACCACGACGTCATAGCTCGTGAGTGCTTCAGTCGAGGGTATTCTTCAGTCACACCCGGTATGGAAGCATGGGCCAAGCAGCTGACAAACAGCTCGAAGGATACTGACCCACTGGTAGCCTAGCTGCGACAAATTAAGAGAACGCACAAGTCCACCCCCAGGACTACTTTGTTGAAATGATTCGCGGTTCTTTTGGTTGCAACATTATTTAATGTTCCAGGCTGTATCCCAGGGATAGTCGTGCCAAGGTATCTTTGTTTCTGGACAGGGTGATCAATGACTTCAAGAGAAGCCCACCGGACATCCGAAAGCCACTGAACTACAAGGATGCTCTTGGAAAACATCAGGTGTGTGGCGCCTACATCCACTTCTAAGCCATGATGCAGTCCACGTGTCCAGAGGGCGAATGGGCCGACCTCTCCAAGGAGTTGGACACAGCTTTCTACGACCAGTTTTTGGACGCTGACCTTTTGTCGGCTTTGCAAAGCTCCGTTCCTCCGGGTGATGTCGGGGCTATTGGTGCGATGAGGCAGTGTCATATCAAGCTGTGAGTAATTGGTCAGCATAAACCAATCAGTGTGAGTTGGGGTGTCAAGCTCTAAAAGAAATTGGCATTGGGTAGCCATGGTTCAGCCGATCAAAAGTTTCCAACAAACAACCGTATACCGACGCCAGGGCCCACCTTGTCAAGTTTAACAAAATGCACAGCGCTGAGACGGACAAAAAGGAGGAGGAAGCAGCCCGTGAGGTGATCGCAGCCACCTTCAAGCAGCTGAGCGCTCAGCTGGACCATGACATGTCCATTCTTGAGCAGAAGGTTCTTAAGTCCAAAGCTCAAGAGGCAGCAGCTGCAGTGCAAGATGCAAAGTTTCTCAGAGATCGGCAGCAGTCCCTCAGCTTTGCCTAAGATTTGTTCCACGTTTCGTGCTCGTCCTTGGGTGTTCTGTAGCGCTGTTCCATGATTCTTTGTTGACCAAAACGCGATGAGGAAGGGGACAAAGTGGGTACAAAGCTGGATGGAACAGCACTGTGTCCTGGTCGAAACGGATGAGAAGCTGTCTCTGGCAATGAGTGAGTTTGCGACATTTACCTCGAAGTTCCAAAACTCTTCAGGGAGGAGGTCACTTGGCAGTGCGTTAGGGTGAGACTTGATGTTAAGGATTGTGATGATCGTGAATACCAATGAAGCAAAGCATGGCTCTTTAGCTTTTTTCAATTTTATTTAACCCTAGGTACACTGTGGTGGGCTTGGACACAACATTGTGGCCGAGCAACGCTGCCTACTTGGGAGCTGCTGTGAATGCCACTTGCAGCATCGTCAACATGTCACAGGACAACATTTGTCACTGTCAGCTTCCCCAACTTCAGAGTTCGACCAATGCCGCCACAGTCCTGAAGCACAAGAGGACCCTGGAGGACAACCTCATCGGCCAAAAACTCGATGTTGGGAACATGGTGGTTCTCAGGTTCACCAAGCCAGAGTCGCAAAGGAATGATTCCAGAAAGCCATCCCAAGCTTGCATTGCAGCGCACAGTGCCAACTTCAAGGTAAGCAGCTTTTGCGAGTCGGACCCCATCCGGTCATCGACGATTGGACCAGCTCCACTCATCAAGACTTCCCAAATGCTCGGCTATGATATGGAGGATGGCAGCATGAGCGCTGGCTTGAGAACCGAGCAGAGTCTTGCCCGGCCCAAGAGCAGATTTTGGGTTCCAAGGTAGTAGGTTTGACCCCTCCAAAGAAAACTCACCTATGCAGCGCAATTTTGTTTTGGTTCGCGATGTGTCTATCGAGGAAAGGGTTGCCGATCCATGTGGAAATTTTGAAGTCCTACGCAAATGGCCTTGGCTTGCGCGATGCTGACCACTATCTGTGGGTTGACATCATCCCCAACAGGTGGGAAGGGCTTGGGAGGCAGCGTAATCTTTAATTTGCGAACTCAATCTACTTTGGACCGCTGTAAATGGTTCCATGGTGAAAATTAGAAGGTTTTTGTTGAGTTCATCCAATGTTTGGATCAGGCACTGTGAGTTTGCTCGTGCTGCGGCGGAGTGCATTTTGGACAAGACCCTCCCACAGCTTCGTTACATAGGCTTTGTGAAGAAGGAGTTCTTAGCTAAAGTGCAGGAGGCAATCTCGGCTACTGTGTATCAACACTGGGATGATAGCACGGAGTCGGGACCAAAGACCCGCCCACAGGAAGCTGAGAGCAGTGAGCCACTTGGGTTCAAGGTTCTCAGCATGTCCGCTAATGGTGACATCACGTGGCCAGACTCCGTGACAACACGATTCCCTCCAGACACCTCTGAGTTCAAGGCTCTTGACGCCAGGCGCCAGAAGTTCTTGGAGCTATGTCCTGCGCACGGCACACCAGCCCAAGTCGGGGAGGCAAGTGTTTCAAGGTCATCTGCGAGACCAGACTACAGCATTGACAATGGTGCGGAGCCTTTGGATACAACCCGCTTGTTGGACTTGCCCGGCGTGCCAACTGCTGAGTTTACAGCCCAGAGGCAAGGTCGTTGAAAACACGGTGATAATGTTTAAATAGAATTGGGGACATGGGCCTTCCTAGTTATAGGACAGGAATGATTCAGTGGTCTTTGAAAATCATGTCAATGAGTGGTATGTGTGACCTGCATCTTTGAAACATCATCCCTATCAAAAATCTATGCAACGCCTGGCAGGCTTGCGACGTGCCCTGGAAAGGGCGACCGTCCCTCTGTGGTAGTGACTACTGACTTCAAGCTTTGGATTGGGAACGAGGGAGATGACATGCTGAAGGTGGCACCATTTCCAATCCTTGGTTTTGGGCTTGGTGAATTTGAGGAGAAATGCGTTGGAGGCCATTTGTTTCCTGCTAGCTGCTAGTTCCTCACCATGATGTTGTGGCTTAGGACCTTTTGGAAACAATTTTTCGTTTCAGGCCCTGCGTCTGAGCACTACAAGAAGTTTGTAGTTTGGAGGCTGTCGGATGACAAGGAGCTTGTTTGCTTGGATGGAAAGCTTACACCACTTTGCTCTGTGCTAGAGCAAATGTCTTCAAAGCATGGCTTGGTCGATGTACAACTTCTAGACCACATGTTGACCCAGAAAATGCGACCGGTGTCCTGTTTGCGTTTTGCTTGTGCAAAATACGGTGCTGTTCATTTTCTCAGGCTCCCAGCCCCCCCGATCTCCTCTTTTCCCAAGGCAGTTGATGGAGAGGAGACCATGCCTGCACCATTTCGGTACAACGTGCAGCCGGCACCCGGAGAAAAAACAAACTGTTTGAAACCAAACAATTTTGATGTTCAAGATCCTCTGAATGTGAAGCACCAAATCCTTGGACAAGCGTACCACGGGAACTTCGACAAGCTCTGCAATAACAAGCGGGCTGGAGTGGTTTGGGAAGCCCCTCAACCAATTCTCAAGCTTGTTTTGGATTCTTTCTTTCTGTTTGAGCCAAATAGTGTGGAACCTTTCAACATCTTTCAACAAAGGTCCCAGAACCCCCTTGGGGCCCTTGTCAAAATCCTAGGTGAACATGGGCACTGGTGTGCCTCCCAAAGTGATGCCGGTAAAGCCAAAACTCTGGCTACTTTGCAACTTGGAGATGGCTGGAAAAACTTGGTACCAGCTCACCTCTTGCGCATAGATGGTAGCCATTTTGCTAGCTGGGCCCGTGAACGACTTTCCGTGGAAAGTTTAGAGCAAGTGCTTGACTCATAGATGGGCACTTCCTGTTTCCAGGCTTAAACTCAATTGAATGTAACTGGACCAGTAGCATGTCACATGTCTATACACGGCAGGTAGCATCCAAAGAGTCAAGACAACCTCGACGCACGCTGTCACTCAGGGGTGGACAAAAAAAGAGAGCACCAGGGTCACCAAAGTCCAAATTTGTCATAATGAACTCGCAGTTGGATGGAGTGGGCTAGTCCAAAGTTGCCTGCTCTTCCCGTTCCCAGATCAAGCGGCGGGACTGAAACATCTTTCAGTCAGTTTTGCTGGCCTCATCATTTGCGGCCATCACCATGCCATGCCTACCACGTGTCGCAGAGATCACCGAGAGCGAAGAAGAGGAGACCGGGGCACTGGAGCATCCATCCTTCAATGTAGTCGTATATAAATGCAACTTTTCAGGGATTAGGTATTTCTTTTCCTCAATGACTCAGTCAGATGACCAAAGTTTCTGCAGGAGCCGGATGCTGGAAGACAAACCGGTAAACCAAATTCAACTCCGAAACCAAAAGCGAAGCCGAAAGTGAAAGGGAAGGTGAAAAAGGAAAAACCTACCACTGCCGAGCCCAGTTCAAGCAAGAATGTGACTGCGACAGGTTCCAACGAGCCTCGTCGTCGTACTGGTCGTGCCAAGGCCAAGGCCAAGGCAAAGGTTCAGCCTAAGCGCAAAGCCAAGGCCAACAAGAAAGCTGAACCTGAGAAAGCCGCTTCAGAAACACCTGATAATACCAAGAAGGAACCTGAAAAAGAAAAACCACCAAGAAAGCGACCAGCAGCCTCTGGAGGCACGCTCTAGTGTCATTGAACAAGCATGTTGTCTCATCATCCCCATCTTACATGTTGTGATTGGATGTTATTGGCCCGGAGGTGGGAGCAAGATCGGGAACCCGTACTGCTACACCAATGGCACTTGGGCCTTCAAAGTCGATGGCAGCGAAGCGGTCCGAGCAACTCGGCTGGTGTTCTCGAGTTTTGGCATTCGGGGTACTGGTGGATGCTGGTGGCATGCATTTTTTTTTGCCTCATATAAGGTTGGTGGTTCGAAGTACGACAAGGATGCGGTCAAAGAGATAATCGCCTCCTACTCAGTGGCTTTGCCATTTCTCTTCTAAGTCTCCTCAACCTCCTCTTATGCACAAAAGACATTTATTGTTCCCTAGTGGGGTTCCTTGGGTTGCAAGGATGCGGCACATGCTGAAGTCGTCAAGGGTGGATCAATTCAAGATGCCAAGAACCTTTCCGCGACTTGGCTAGACTAGGCAAAATACAACTTGCTGAATCGGCTCCTAGGTCCAAGTACCAAAATTCATGGATTGTTCTTTCGTGCTCTTTCGCAAGGTGATGATGTTGGAGAAGCTAGATGGTGGCAACAAGCCATGTGCCAAAGTGCTTCCCAGGAAGGAGACGCTGGATCTGATGATCCCACCACCACCAACCCCTGAAGATGAGAAGGGTGGAGACCAAACGAAGGAGGGTGCCGATGAGGCCGATGAGCCTGATCAGGGGGAGAATGCGGAAGAAGAGGAGGTGGAAGATGATCCTGAAGAGATCTGCTAGGAACATAATAGATTCGCTGAGGCTCCCTGCGGAAAAAATCTCACGCGGCCGCTGCGCTGCGGCAGTGCTGCTGCTCTGGGGGTGGTTTGGATGGAGGGCTCTCTGTGAGGCTTTAAGAGAGGGTTTTCGGTCTAAATTTAAGATGTACACTTCAGTGGCCTGAATCAAATTGGTGGCCTGATTAGCATGAAAATGTTTTTAAAGTAAATGGTATTCACTCTTAAACCGGAATCGTTTGGGTGCTCATTCGCAACGATGGGAGTGAACTGGCACCCGGGAGGGAGGAAAGACCAGCGATCTCTTGGGGAACGAACGAACGAGTGAAGGATCACATCCATCACCACAGAAAATCCAATCAAATGATCGGTCTTCACAAAAGAGTCACCATGTTCTTCAACCCTGGTTGGAGTTGTAGCAAGTGCCTCGCAAGTAAGTATCTGCGAGTGGTAGCTTCCGGCCTATGTTCGGAACTGGATCCGGACCTCACTCCAAGCCTCGACCCACGAAATTGGCAGCCTCGAATTTTTGAAGTGCCTGACATCCGCTAGCGCCGTCTGACCACCTAGACCTAGACTGCCTAGACGGCTAGACCGCCAGAAAGGGCGCGAGAGCGGCGCGAAGCGCGCAGGGGCGCGGACGGAAGAATGACTCCGGCAGGGGGTTGAAACGAGTCGAAAATTGCCGACTGGTTTGGCGAAGCCTCCCGACCGATTTCTACCGATTCCCTTAAGAGACCAATCCCTAAAAGAGGTTCAAGACCATAGGACAGCAGATTGATTTGCTTGGTGTTTTCGACTTGGATCATTGCTTGAGCACGTCCCTGATCATTCTTCAATTGGGTTCACCCGGGTTCATTGGATTTTGAGCATCGAAACCGCATCGAGCGGGGACGTTTTGGGGAAAATTCCCCATCCCAAAAGTGGTTGGCAACGGTATTTTGAGCTGTTTACTCCATGTACGAAGCTGCCTGCAGCGGTGAAGCATCGAGCGGGAACCAGCAGTGTGTCTGTTCTTAGCGATCGTCCGACTGGCCGTGGGTTGCTGTCGGACAAGCGCCCGTGAGCTGGCGTCACACAGAGGCTGAGACCGGTACGATCTACACTCCCTGGAACGACATGAAAGTAGACCATAGCCCCATGGTAAGACCAATGAAGACCATTTTCCTCTACAAACCGCTTCGGTTTTCCACTTCCATGTTAGCTCCAGGAAGAGTAGGTCGGTTTGTTGGGGATATTTTTTGGATTGGATCCCGGATCCAACGAACAAAGCAGATGTGCAAGCCTAGCTCCCGAGCGGTGTTCTTTGGACACCAAGCGCGGGTGCTTGGAAAGATCGCATAGCGAGGGAACTGCCCTGGTCCCACCGGAAGAAGCGGATCCATCTGCTTCGCTGCTTCGCTGAGGCAACTTGGATCCCAGCTTGAAGGCGATGCAGGCATGTCTCGCCTCAGTCGCCGCCGTCTCTGGATGTGAGGAATAGCTGGGTTTCTCTTAATGAGATGACCCAGGGAGCTGGCAGAATTCGTTTCTTTCGGAGTTGACCCGATGTTGACCCGGGTCTTCAGTCAGTCAAGTCTCAAGTAGATGCTGCATCGAAGTAAGTTTCTTGCCGAAACAATCCAGACGCCCATGGGCCAATGAGTGACTTGTGGATGTTTGATGTTCATAAGTCATGGTGAATACTCTTCGATGACATGTTGCAGAAGCTGGCAACAATGTTGTTTTTTTTGGATCCAAGCTTCTCTATACTGAGTATATCTGAGTATGTTGTATCCCCGACCCAGGTAGCCTAAGGGATGGCAAGTGTGTACAAGTTGTCCGGAATTCGACTGACGATGAATGGACCCTTTCAGATTCAGATGAATTCAGAGCTCCAAGACACTCTAAGAACGACGCAGCGGAGAAGAGCCACGTGTGGTAGATACTTCCGTTTCGTAGATGTATCCTATGGATCCACATACCCTCTCAGAAGGTACGACTGGACCCGCCAAAGGCTATATAAAAGACTATAAAAGAGTCTGCAATCACCTTCTCAAAGGGTATGTGGACAGGGTCCCTGGTCTACGGGCTGTGATCATAGTGGGAATGATCTGCTTTGGGAGACCCGGAGACCTGGGCCTAGAGCCATAGCTGGTTGCAGCATGACTGTAGCTTTTTGTTGAGTTCCAGGGAGACGCATCATGTGTGATATTGAATGATAAGAACTATAATGTTTGATGATTCCCATATATTCCCATAAAACATCATCAAAAAATCTCGTCAGGCCCCTGCATTCCAACAAACATGTGCGACATAATACCCTCAAAATCCTTCAATCTGAACCCCTTTCACCACCCAAATCGTCCCCCCATCCACCACGAGTTCTCCATCAGGCTGCTCGCATGGCTGCCGGACGTTTCTTCTCGGTGAAGGTTGGGACGTTTCAAAAGGTGTTGGAGCGTTGGAGACCTGGGCAACTGGGCAGTGTACAAAGGGATACCAGGAGACTTGGCTTTGCTTAGAGTGATTGTTATTTTCCCTGTGGGTGAATCCGAACATCCTGGTGATTGTTCAACATACTTTCCTGGTTCTCTACTTAAGTTAAGTCCCGACCAACATCGTGAGGAAGGAACCAGCACCATAACTCGGGCCAGGGAAACTCAACGAAAGACGTCAGGCATCCGGGTGGCTTGTCACCCTGTGAAAGTCATGGGGTCATAGGCTTGTCAGTACTCCATTCACGAACTTGTCTCAACATCTCAAAACAACCAAAACGACGACGGTCGGCCAAGAAATTTGCTCTTGAGTGGAACAAACACCTTTAGGACATGCCTTTCGTGATCTTTCGTATGTGAATTCTTCTCCAAGACTCCCCCCCGCGGTGCAGGAGAACAAGCCTGACATCCAGTGTGGTGGAGAGGACAACCGCCACTGGGACCGATGATGGACCCAGAAAGCCACTGGTTTCTATAGACCCTATAGGGCTCCTGGCCTACCTCCGTTTCGAAGATGGTTGGGGTGGGTGCCAGGGGGTCTGTTCCCACTATGGGCCAGGAGCCCTATGCAGAGGAAAACAGTCTTTCATTCTCATGGTCCATGTGAGTTTCTTTCGGAAGTGCAGGTCCTGTTGGTCTCGCTTCTGCTCTCTCCGTTTGACCCAACGTTGCGCCCAACGGAGCTGGTGAAGCGGTCGTTCGGTCGTTGCTGTTGTGTTTTCCGTGGTACAGCGGGGTTGTGCTTTTGCGAACATATGCAAGAGTATGCACACATCGTTTGTTGGAAAACTTTTTGACAGCTACAATGTCAACTTGGAACACTATTGCGGTAAGTACTCAGGGGATCTCAGGGGTATTGGGCTTGTGCAGGAAGGAGCAGATTTACGTTCATTCCAGACCTAAGCTGAACGGCGTTATGAAGATGCATACAGGTTTTTAAGGGCATAGTTCCTATTCCTACAATCATTTTGTTCTATAGAGAGGCTTTCCAATGGTAGATCCTGGGCTGGTCCAATCCCTGGCAGGATTCTTTGGCAGCGGGGAGCAGTGAACTCCTTCCACTCTGGACGATCCGATGATTCGATGTTGAACCTCCTTGCTTGAGGAGTGAACCAACAACCTCCCGTAGTTCTTACAGTGAATCTTCTGCCTGTAGAATAGCAAGGCCCTAAGTGATGAACCCCTAAGTGATGAACACAGGAACGCGGCGCCCATTCTCTACTCACTGGATGGGTCTAAATTCCACCCGTTTGAAAGTGACGGTGTATAGACTATGGAATATGATTCTGAACTCAAGAAAGGTTTCTGCTTCCAAACGCACATCATGTGCACTAGATACTGTTTTGGTGGCGTGTCTTCTTTGTTTTACTTTGAGTGGTCCAGGCTTCAGCTCGGGTGCTCCGTAGAAATCGTCGGGACGGACGGCGGGGGCCTTCGCCTCCCGCACGATCCGCGCGTTGCCGAGGCAAAGACCTTCAGAGCATCGACCAGTTCCAGCTGGACCGTCCAGCGGGGGCGAGCGGGAAGCGCACGAGCTGGCTTCGTGGGACGAACGGATGGGTTCGGTTTCCCAAATGGGAGACTCTGAATCAAGACGTTGCATAAGAGCTCGATCCTGCGGATTGCGGACTTGGACGACTGTCAAGTGGTTTCTGGATCTGTTTGGCTTTGGCCTGGCCATTTGGACACTTGAGACCTAGTGGGACCGCGTTTTAAGGCGATCGTGGACCGCCTTCAGGACCAGCGGGACCCCTGTGTTGGATCCCTCAACTACAGGGACTACAGGGACTACAGGTCACCTGCAGTCTCACCCAGTGTCAAAGCTGATACTGCAAACCTGGTTGAGTATTTTTGCAGTGGTGTTTTCTTTTTTTTTGTAACGATCAACTCCAGTAACATGATCGGTCAGTTCCGCAGCGCATGATGACGACCGGTGCGTCTTTCACAGGCGCTCCCAGCGCACGGTCGGATGCCGCGCATGACCGCAGGACCGGTCGGAGGACTGGCCAGATCGCCCAGATCGTTCTAAGGGGAACATCGTTCCCAACGCCATCGTTTTCGGATGTTTTGGGACATCGTTTCGGGAAGGGCCCATCTTCACCTCATCCGCAGGAGGACGTGACCTTCTTTTATCCTGCTCGTCCAGAGGTGCGGTACGCCCGTCTAACCGGGCACCCCAACGGTGCTTCAGAACGAAGGGGTTTCGGTGTGTTTTTTGTGTTTTTCTTGATGGTTTTCCGGAACTGGGCGAATCCCCTGGCGTAGACCAAACTAGTCATATATGATGTCATAATATGTATTAATATGTTATAATATGTTTCGTTATGTTCCTGTAAACCCAAGGCTTGCACCTTTCTTTCCTCCAAGTGGCCTCACCTGGGCTTGGGTCGAAATCAACATGTTCGACCCATCAAGATGGCAATCTTCAATGCAAGAAGTCCTTTTTCAGCATGTTCGAAGTGATGCCAGGAAGTCGAAACATGCTCAAGTTGACTTAGCACATTCTTCAACTCAAGAACTTAATGGGTCCCTACACAACACCACCAAAACCTACACGAGACGTAATCCGGTCCACCTAATAAAAAACACGGCCCCCCCCCCCCTAATAAGGAAACCTCGGTCGCATTTTTTCTAATAGGGGGTCCCTGAAATCGGGGGGCCCAAAATAGGGTCAGTGGATGTGCAATATGTTGTGGACCTTAAAGTGCAGATTTCGTGGCAGGCGCAGTACTTTATGGACGTTGAAGTGCAGAATTCGTGGCAGGTGCAGTACTTTGTTGGCCTTGAAGTGCAGATTTCGTGGCAGGTGCAGTACTTTGTTGAAGGCCCCTACTAGGAGCAAGGCCCCTACTAGGAGCAAGGCCCCTACTAGGGGCTCCTGGCATCGCTACTAGGAGAGCCAGCGGAGAGTCTGCAAGTCGATTTTGAGGGTGTATTGGGACCTATTTTGAGGGGGTTTTGGGGAACCTAATAAAAAAACTACCCCCAAAATCGACCATGTTGGTAGTTTAGTAGCGGTTTGAAAGGGCGGTAATTTGAAACCAAATATAAACCGAATTTAGGGGGATCCGGCATGACTTTTTTTTGATAGGGGTCCGTTTTTTAATAGGTACTCGGAATTACTCATCAAAAGAATCCTTCAGAGGAAAATGGGCATCGATACGGCGCCATGCTAAACCATGCTAAACCTCAGGGAGTGTCGGTCAGGTCAGCAGATTGAAAACCATGGGGGTGGACACCCCACGACAGACAAGTAACAGGTGGTTCGCTCGTTGGTTTCACCTGAATTGTTCTGGGACCATTTCTGGGGTGCCCCTGGGATCTCCTCGGGGTTCAGTGGAGGTGGTCGTGCATGGTTTTGGCATGTTTTGGCATTTTCGGGTTTTGAGTTCCATCGACAAGATGGGTCGAACAGACAAGGGATGACTGGACCTGGTAGGTGAAGATCCTCAATGGCCTGTCCTTGAGCATCAAGCGTGGATGCTAGGATCAGAGATTGCACGGCGAGCACAGCGTTCGGGCATCCTGACCCATGCAAAGGACTAGGTGTGTCGGGTTAATGCATGGAAGTTCTTCCATTGACTCATAGACATAGACAATACTTCCTTACAAGACCACAAAGAAGCAAGAGACCCGTGACCACTGTTGATATGATAAACATGTGTTTTTAGGTTCCCTCATCTGTCTTTTGGTGATACGTACTTGGGACACCTCGTAAACTTGCGTGTTGCCTAGACTTTGGGCACTCAGAAGCCGCAAGACGGCCCCACATCCCCAAACGTCCACCGGCGTCGCGCATCGAGCCGCAACCGCAACCCCAACGCCTCGGCCTCGGATCTTCGGGTGGACGAGCCGAACCGGTGGATCGGCCGGTTCCGAGGACAGAAGGTGGCTGTGGTGGGTGAGAGCGGCAGTGGGAAGAGCACCGTCATGGCGCTGTTGGAGCGTGTCTTGGGCCGAAAGAAGCTGCCAGGGTCCGACGTGGCGCTGAGCACGTGGCGCTGAGCACGAGCTGTGCGGTGAAAAGGATGGGCCAAAGACGGGACTCGGTGTCAAACCGAATCCGTTTCCTCACCTAAAAGAAGACTGGGTGAGGAGCCCAATCAACTCATCTCACATTCAGCAAGCCTTCCAAAGCCGGGTCCAGGTACCTAATTTGTCGGATAGTCTGACGGAGGTCTGAAGGACATTATCATACATGATCAGTCCTGCCCAGACGCTCCAAACAGCCCTTGGTCCCTCAAAACCTAGGGATTGGTTCGGGTCCGGACCCCTCTATATCTAAGGGTCCTGCCCCTACTCAGGAGGCTTGTGGTCCTGGCCTGCGGGTCGGGTCGTTGTCTGCACGTGACACGTGCATGGACATATGACACACACACACACACACTTCTGATTCGTCCCCAGCAGTAATCAGACATAATCAGACCCTTATATCATAGCAGACAAACCAGCATTTGGATCATTCCCGAATCTGGAAATCCATCACAAGATCGTGGAATCTTCTGAATGTGTGTCATTGCCAAGTGGAAGTGGACATTTGTTTGAGCCCCACATGTCAATTCTCCCCTGTCTGGAGCTTTGTGGGATCATTGAACTTTTGCGCATGGTCGCGTGTGTTTCAAACAATGGGATATCTTGGGATGCATACAGTCTCCAATTTTTTGTTTAAATCCTGAATACAGGATTCCAACAATGGTAAGTTCTTGTTCCCCACAGGTCAAAGACTTGGGGACTCCCCCGACTCCTTTCTCACGCGACGTGGCCACGCGACCCGCCGGCGCTATCACTGAGGCTTCTACGATCCGGCGGCCGGTCGGGTGTTGGTGAACGGTGAGGACCGTGTGGGGGGGATGCGATCCAGTGGGTTGAAGCACGCTTGCATGCCAGGGCATGCGCGGGAGGCGAATCCCGATGCTGATGAGTCCAGCAAAAAGGAGAATTGACGAAAAGGGTGGCCAGGTGAAACAATGCCATGAAATACCTCATTGTGATCCGAAATCGTAGCAGGGGATGTCAACAAATGTTAGGCACAACAACCTGCACGTGGAGTAATGACATATAATTACGTACTTTCTCAAAAGTTTTTGTATATACTTGGTACCAACGAAAGCTCTAATTCAATGCCAAGACCGTGGACCCGTGAAATAGGATAGAGGCTCTTATCAAGCGGTCCCAAGGTGAGAAAATCCATCAAAGATCAACATCATGTAGAATCGTGATTGATATAATACTCGCCCATAATATGAAGGTTTTTCGTGGTTACACCAAATGGGGCGCCTCGATTAATCAACATTCTACTGGCCAAAAAGCCGAGGCACATGATCTGCCTTGTGGATGTTGGTCTGTCGGTGCCCAGACCATCCTAGATATACAGTTGGTACTCAGCTGCTCCCTAAGATTGTCAGTTTGTCCAGGATATGAAGAACTTCAAGATTTCCGCCCTCCGCCGCTGCATTGGCTACGTGGGACAGGACCGACCCACAGGAAGGAAGGCAGCGCATGGAGGAAGCACCGGAACGCCCCCCCCCGGTGGCTTCGGACCGGTCGTTCTGAGCTGAAACAAAGGGACCTAAAAACACCGGAAGACCCATGTAGAAAGCGCAGTAGGCACCTCATGAGAGTTGGCTGCCCCCCCTGCGAAAACGGTCCGCGCGTGACGGCAGGAGCCCGTGTTGTTCGCCAGCTCCATCCGGCACAACATCATGCAGGGCTGCCCTGGCGCCAGCAAGGAGGATTTCAACAAGGCCGTGAAGGGCGTTCGGCGTCGTCGCACCTGACCACTGCGTTCGTCTTGCTGTAGACATTATCATATGTTTTGGGGAGGCCCAGATCTTCCACTCGGTAGAGGCCAAGACCCTTGGGCAAGGCGATTCTGGGATGAATAAGCAGTGAGGTGCACTGTGGTGTTGATTTCTCGATTGACCATCGGTTGCGAGGTCCAGCGGGACCAGAACTTCTGGAAGTTCGGAATCTATAGACACGTGCTGCGTAGGGTTGAGGTAATATATATATATAGTTCTTCCCCAAGTATATAGACCTCACGAACCGTTGGGAACTTCATCATTGGATATTTTTGGGCCACCAGAAGTTGCACTAGGGCAGATGCCCGTAATTATAACACCATAACATATTGTAACAGATTGTATTATCACAGTCACATTATAACACAAAGCTGTTCCTCAGTCCAGGCGTGTGCTGATGCCCAGCTGAGCTTTGTGGACAACTTGCCCGAGAAGTACAACACCTTCGTAGCCTGGCCACGTTTTCTGAAGCAAAGACAACGAAGCATATATGGATGGCCTGACCATGCCTGACCGTATACGGTATATAATGTATGATGCCTGGTTGATTTTATTGACCGTGAATGACCAAGTTCCGTTTTTGTGGTGCCTGGTTTATGATCCCTCTATATTCTTCCCAAGGAAGGAGATCAATGAACGGAAGTGTCGAGTGCTTTAGTGGAAGAGGGAGGGGATGAGGATGGGATGATGGTAGAAATGATGTGTTGGAGTCCCAGGAGGTGCTAGTTGCGGGTGGTTGGGTTTTCTGTACTGTCAATGTTGTCCTTAGAACTAACCACCAGTTGGACCAGTTACAGTTGGTGGCTATCAATGAGAGGGAAGGATTGTGTAACACATTGGACTTGTCCGAAAAAATACACATTCGTAAAGGTCCATATGTCCAGTTTCTTCGTACAGGGCCGGTCGTTTTCGGTCCGGGAAGGGTAGACGCCCATCGGGAAGGGTAGAGAAGCGCCACCCACACAGTTGTGGATGAAATACCAACGGGTGGAGAAAGCCGAAGAAGGGATGACGATACATTGATTCAATCAGGGTGTATATATTTATGTCACTTGAGTTATTTTGTACATGTTATATTTTTTCTCCAGGGAGGCCTTTCATAAGAAGACTTCGTTTCCCCTTCATCCAACATTCACGACGTTCATGCTGAACCATATATTGAACGTCTCCAATCCCCTCATCCAACTTGATCCAACCGGTGTTTTCCAACCTTTGCACCCTTGGTAGGTCGTGGACGGTGTCCCTTATGGAGTGGAGTCGACGATTCCGTGGCCGACCTTCCTCTCTAGGTCGGTGCGGGTGGCGGCCAACTGTCGGGTGGCCAGAAGCAACGCATCGCCATTGCCCGGGCCTTGCTGCTCGGTATTCGCGCGCACACGTTCGGGGTGTTCTGATTCTGGTGGATTGGTGGTCTGAGTTGACTCCAATTTCGGGATTTGTTGGTGAAGTATTTAGACGATCAAGTACTTGGAAGGCGATTCTTTGGGGTTCATTCCTGGTGGTGGTGGATATGTTGTTTTGTGCTTGCAGAGCTTGCCGCCTGTTCTTTTTTTCTATGTTCTTATTTTCCAAACCATTTGTCTTGTTTTTTCCTGGCCCAATTGCTGCGTATAACCGTATAACCATTCCTCCCCCGTATTTTTGTTGACGTTGAACACTTAAATGGCACTGTTCAATCACTATCACATGAGGTCCTTGTTGACGACCGTCCTTGAAGATGCAACTCCGCAGTCGTGCAATCCTTCAATCACTACCCCCACGCTATATCGGTCCTCTAGCTCCACTGCCATACTGTTGATACACCTGAGGCTAATACCGGTTCTCTCATGGAAGGATACGTGCTTTCGCCCTGCCAAGACACGCTCAGCTACGTGCAGCAAAACTCTCTCTCTCTCTCTTGGTGCACACACGCAAAAAAGAACTGGGGGCCGTGTGCTTGTTGTTTTTATATAAGGGAGCTGTGATTTTTTCACCTTCTGCCTCTCCTTCATCTCAGGTTGAAGAAGGCCTCCTTCTTGTTCTTGGATGAAGCCACTAGCGCTTTGGACAACACCTCCGAAAAGATGATCCAGCAGACCATTGCGCCTCGGTGGACACGAGGGTATTGATGGATCGTTCCGGAAATATTTTTTTTTTTTTTTTTTTTTTTCGAAAGGACCGGTGTTTTGGCTCACACCGGTGTGCATGTGTGTGTGTGTTTTTTTTTTTTAAAAAAATTTAATCTATTAATATATATATATACTTCATATACCCCTTTTGACTGCAAAGTTCAGGCAGGTTTGAAGGTTTTTGGTGTTTTGACCATGTGGATTCTGTTGGTTTTCTTGGACCACCTCGAAAACAGTTCGGGTCTTTTGGGTGGCTTTTTGGATCAACCAATCAATCAATCATCTGTTCATCCTTGAAGAGACGTATCCCCTCCAAGTCTCCTCCATTTCGATATGGTTCATTCATATATAGACGAGGGAATGTATATCTACCCTCAAGATCCATCATGACCCCTTCAGAAGTGTTTGCTGTGCTCGATCCATCTGGTCCATAATTGGCAGTCGTTTTCAGGGTCGTTTCAGATGTAAACCAGTGTCAGATCGCCGATCCCTCAGGACCCAGGACACCCCGAAGAGGACCCATCAGTCTTCCCCAAGTCGGACATCACCGAAGCTGAGGACTCCATCGGTGCCAACAGCGAATCTGGCCTTGGCATTGTGAGCATCGCGCACCGCCTCAGCCGCGTGGGTCGAAGAAGAAACACCACGCACGAAGCCGAAGCCGCCCCTCCAAAACGCCGGCGGACGATGCGTGGCATGGCGTGCGCCGGAGACGGTGCCATTGATTCAGGTCTTCTATTATTGCTAGTAGCGATGCCCTGCAGCTCCGAGTAGCGTCCTTGCTTCTAATTGAAGGTGGAAGCCACCAAGACTGAGGTTTGATGACTTGTGATGGACTTGGAATGGACGTATGTCTCAAATGGCGGCGTACGCCTCGAACGTTGATTATAGGGGTCTCATGTGGAAGTCGTTTGCCATCATCTAGACTTTTTTAGTATGACGCTGGCACGATCTGATCTGGCAAGACGATTTTCTCTTGCACTACTACAATAAGTTACTAGGCTAACTGCAGGTTTCAATACTGTTACTAGAGTTAAACATAGAAATTAGATTTCGTCGCCTGTGGCTATCGTAGGAGTCGGTGATTCAATATCAAGGTCTCCAAATACTTAGAAGTTCTTAGGTCCATTTGCAAGTGGTGAAGATCCTGACATGACCCATCAGTTGTCAAGTCTCACAGTATCGACACCTGTTTCCTTTAGCAATATCCTCTTCCTGTGATACCTGTGTCAATTCGGCATCTCCTCCATGGCTTCAGTATGTCCAGTGCTTGCTGCGGCACATCCTACAGGCTCCGGCTCCCAAAACATCCCAAAACCAAACGGCAGGACATGGAGGCGGACAGGTGGACCTCATGTCACCTTTCCCTAGGGATCCAGTCGTACCTTCTCAGAAGGTGGGACTGGGGACTCATTTCTTTTCCAAAGTCACGGAAGTTCAGGGGTTGCACACGTCCGCCATTTGGGTGAAGAAAAAGGTGTCCCTCATCCCTCCCCTGCTTTTGCTTTTCTCAGCCCATCACCATCGTTTTGCCATGAGTTCCGCACCGTTCGAGGCACGGTGCGCAACTCGGATCTCATCTACGTCCTGATGCGCGGCAGCCTGGTGGAGAGCGGCAACCACACGCAGCTGCCGCTCGGCCGGGTCTTCGGGGCTGGGTGGAGGACGAGCGTCTGGGCGTGCGCACGCATCTGGGGGTGCAAAAGGGGAGCAAAGCGATTGCATCACTTGGGAGAACTTTGGGATGTTCACCAAAACATTGGTTTGAAACATGTTGAAACATTACTCATATGTGATGTTGACTGTTCATGAATTCCAAGTCCCCCATTTGAAGATGTAGAAGCATCATTCATCCCCGAGAGAGACAAACGAATCCCGGTGGAGACCACCCACCCCCGTTCTCCGGAGAACGGCGGGAGGGTTAGTGTCGGTCACGGCGACGGGTTCTTGCGAACGGCCAGGATGGAGAAGAAGGGCTCGTACTTCGCCTTGGTCGCAGCACAGGAGTCCTCCCAGAAGGCTGAGGAAGCCGAAGCCAACCAGCCCTTTGGATGGGTGGACGGGCTTCCTCTTCACCGCTTGAAGCGCGGGCCGTGCCGTTTTTTTTCGTTGATGAGTGGAGTGTCAAGTACTGGTGTGTGAGATTGAGGGTGGATTTCTGGTGGGTGAGAAGATGGAACTGCAGAACACCCTCAAGTGGAATTTTGCTTTGGAAACCAATGGTGACATAGGGTTTGACCCTGTTGGACAAGTGACGACAAGTGCATGGTTTGCTGGACATGCCTGGGTTGGAACGCGGCTATCTTCAAGCTGTTTTAAACAAGCCTACCACACCCTGACAAGCTGCTGAGGAGCTGCTGAGGAGCTGCTGAAGTGGTGAAAAACTAGAACTAGAAGTCAGCCAGCACCACAATGACTGAATGACTACCCCCAAGAATCAAGGTAACACTTGTCCTGAATTCTCCAGTGGAACCGGTGAAAAAGGATGAACAAGCTGAGATTTGCTTGATCGGTGGTGGAAATAGTGGCCAGACAGGTGGATGCTCATACATCTCAAACATTCTCAAACCAAATAGTGTTAATCAAATCTTATTGGAGAGAGCCTGTTTTCAAAATTACAAAACGTATTAAAAAAACATCAACTTAGTAGTCAGTCCCAAAAGTCAAAGTCGAAAAATCATCAGAAAGTCCGAAAAAAAACATCAATTGGCCCAGATCCGACTTTTTGTTGACGTACTTTGTTTGGACGTTATTTTTTGGTTTAACTACTGTTTGTTTGTTTGTTTTCCTTTTTTTTATGTGTGTTTTTTTGTTTTACATTTTTGAGTTGTTTTCTAATGTTGACCCTAGTTTTGACTTTTTTGACTTTTTTTTGACTTTTGTTTGATGTGTGTTTTACTTTTTTGAGCTGTGATCAATTTTTTGCTGTGTGTTTTATTTACTTGTTTGAGCTGTGATCCATTTGTTTAACATTTTTTTTGACATTTGTTTGACTTTTATATATTTGCATGTTGTTTAAACATTTTTTTGACTTGTTTGAGTTGTGATCTATTTTTGACATGTTTTGACTTTTTTCCGACGTTTGTTTTTTGTTTTCCATTTTACTGTTTTCACTTTGACTTTTTCATTTGACATTTGACATATTTTTCATGTTTTCCGACTATTTTTTTATCAAGGATTCTGGCCTACCATATGAAAGAATCTTTTGAGAATAGTGATTAGACGTGCTCCCCAGTTCAGCTGCTTCGTGAACATTCAGATTCTCTCGGATCGTGTTTGAGACTCAAGGCTTCCGCACGACCACACCAGCGCCATGCTGGTCCGGCAGATGAGCGAGCACAGCCACTTGGGGTGCAGAACACAAGAAGCGTTCTTTTTCGTTGGACCCATGCATCCTCAGGAAGTACGTGGATCATCTGCAATAACTGGGGGAATTGGGGGAAGTCCCATCCAGAAACAGCTCCGAAGAACAGGTGGATCGAGTCGATGTCCGGCGTCCGACATGTGGGCCGAGGGCCGAAGGCCTGCTCAAAACGTGTGAAAGAGACAAGCAATGCCCAGACCATGGGAGTGGAATATGTGACTACCGATCATGGACCCGAAAATGACCCATCCATGGTTGACTATTCCAGTCCCATTCGTCTTGGAGATGGGATGGGTTTCTTGGTTACACCGAGCTTTTGGCAGGCACATGAGGTGAGGACCTGCTCTTTGGGGCTGTAGGTCACTGATGGTCACTGTATTGCTGAAAATTACAAAATTCCTTCAAAGATTCTTTTGTCAGAATTTTTGATGGTTATAGCTATATTGTACGGCATGATTTGTGATTGCTCCGGGGGGAGGCGTTAAACATTTCACTGGACTGCCATGTTTGGGTTCATATCTCCAGCGGTGGAGATGCCTTCCAGACCGACGCAACTAACGACGTGCTGCGCTGAGGTGGCGAGTCCGAGAACGCGCGGGTGGCACGAGAGAAGAAGGCCTTGGTGAAAAAGCAGAGACCAGCATGTGGATGGTGGCAGGTTTCATGCATGCGTTCTAGAAAAGTGGGGATCTTCTCACTCTTGGACCTGAAATTCCAGAGAGAACATGCCATTTGTGTTTGCAGCACACGACATCTATGGCGACACAGACGCAAAACGATTGTTCTGGTGGCAACGGTTTGTTCCCTGCGGGTCCAAGTACTCTCCGGAACGGTGCGATGGACTCCATGCTGTGAACGAGCGTGCATGGTTTGGCAAGGAATCAGGGACCTATAGGGACCTCCCTTTGATACTGGATCGGTCTGAAAGTACCTCGAACTCCACTCCAGATGCGTCGACGCATCGAATGACACGACCTACGGCGCAATCTCCAATGGCCAGGAAGAGAAGGAGCGTGAAGCGCAGATTCAAAAGAACTACAAGGCCATGATTCAGAGTTTTCCAAACACCGGAAGCATGAAAGTTCGATGAAGTTATATACTGGCACTTAGAATCAATTATATAAATGGCTAGCGGCTATTCCCTTCAAATGGTAGAAGGCTCTTTGTGAGAAGAGATGTCATATTCAGATCGGCAAATCCATGCGCCCCAAAAACCAGACATGGTTTTTGGACATGGACAACATTTACTATAACCTTGTACCACCAGTTCCGCACCATGGTATTCTTCTCTGCAATTGTTTTACAAAAGGAGCAAACCGGCCTCCAAGAATGCCTGCCACATAGGGAGCCCGGTCAAGCTACCTGGAGCCCTGGCCGACCATGATACGTCGTGCCTTTCCAGGTAGGTCGTGCCCAAGGCCTCCTGGTGAAAAAACCCACGTTGCCACATGTAAACCGGAGCATGGGCGTTACCAGGACCCTCCTGTCGGGGGTGTCTATTTATAGCCCCTTAACCGTTAAGGGGTGTCCATTAACCACCCCTTGAAGGCCCTGGTACGTTACACACGTTACATGATTCTTTAAGGGCAGTGTTCTTTTGCTGCCAGCTGGACCTTTGCTTTCTGGCTGCTGGGGCAGTGGTGCCCAAAGTCGAGGCCCATCCACTTCGTCAAACCTTCAAAGTAGCAGCTAGCAGTTCATAATGATTGCCATAGATTTGGTAAAGTCCCTGAATGTCCCTGTAATCATAATCCGCTGCTAGGGGGAATAGGATACAAAGATATTCATATTAGTCAGTATAAGATATGATACATGTTCAAACGGAGGATAAGTGAATCCCTAAGTATGGAGGTAGGTCAACACCTCGATAGTAGCAACTCGTGGAGACTAACCTTTTTTCCTTGGAACGCCGCCCTCTTTGCTTTGGAAACCGGTTCCATTTTCGAGTGCTCCCATGTCCGAGGACATGTAGGTCCAGTGTGGGTTCTTCCCAGATTCAAGGACAAATGAAGTAATTACTTGCTTTTGAAGCACCCCGATGTGTGCAATTCTACCTAGAACCCAAATTATGACCTCTGATATGATAGGAAAAGAATGAAAAATACCATGTTTCGACTCCCAAACAGGGGTCTTTTCCGCATTCAAAGTTTTTCTCTTCTCCCATGTAGTATTTGGGACCAGGTTCGACAGGATCCACCCACCCCACATTGCGCCCCGCAAGTTGCGCTGCATCGTCACTCGGTCCAGGTGCCAATGGCCCGACTCTTCAGCAGCTCCGTTCGCAGAGCAGCGCATGCGGCAGCGGGGGATGTTCGGTGCGGCAGATTCGTTTGCTATGCTAGGCACAGACATAGGCGATAGGATCAATAGGCAGTGGATCGAGAAAGGAGCAACGATTCAATTTGACCTAAAATTGACTTGGTAGCGGTACTTATTTATGATTTATGAGCGCTTTTGTTCAATAATTAGAAAGGAAAGCACAACAATTGGGGCAAGATGACAAATAGACCTTCGACCACGGGATACCACGGGTATTGCGTGAGACATTTGAGAATCTGATTCTTGTTGTGTGTGGCGGGGATCCGGCCTCCACACAAAACCTGACCTGCAGTGTTTGTGAGTCGCCTTAACACAAACCTCCCGTCGGCTCATTCCTGTCAGATTCTCGGCTACAAAAAGTCTATCTTTACGAAAGCCAGCAGATAGATTGTGAGAAATTAGGGGGTGTTGGCATTGGGGTAGCCTGCTGATGGTTTGGGTCTTTGATAATGGTTGATGAGCTCATGATACAAAGATGCAACACGAACCTGTGTCGGCATCACTTGCAGCAGAAGTCTGTTGGAACGCCTCATCAGGCTGACATAAAATGCATTTGCGCCAGTTCCTTAGAACTCGCGCGTGTCCAACGCTCATTTCCACTGGCTTTCGTTTACCTCTCCCTTTTTCAGGTGGTCCAGAACGCCTATCATCTCCTATCGATGTTTTAGTTGGGTCGTTGCAATGGTCATCTCATAGACGTCCTTTCTCCGGGTGAACGGTCCTTTCTCCGTGGTGGATCGGAGGACGTGTCACCGACCTGATCTTTTTGAAGGTATACGAAGTGGTATACGAACCTGAAGGCTAAGAACAGATCTGCGTGGAAGGCGATTGGTTTTGGGTTCCGGGTGCTGTGTGAGGTACTAGGGCACAGGCCGGACACAGAAAGGAAACACATGTGCTCCACTGCCACTTCTGTGCAGTATCGTCACTATTAATTACCTGCATCCCGACCCTTTGCAACCTTCCCGTACTTCAGGCATCAAAAGGCTACATATCCTACAGGTGAACCCCGGAAAACAGACAGAGATCGACAGACATAATTATATCATAATTAAGCAATGCACAGACTATTTCGCAGAATCCCCCAAATGTTCGTGTGTCTTGTAGGCAGTTTTCGTTCAAGCACTGCCACCCAAGAGAACCCAAGGCCCAAGAGGAGGTCGTTTCATTAAGGAAAAACACCTCGATGAAGTGAAGCAAACTGAACAATCTCAGAAGCCACTGGAGACCCACAAGACGCAAAGGCCAAATCGCAACGAACATCTCCTTGTTCAAAGCCAAATGGCTGTCCCCCCTGCGCAGTGTGGTTGATTGTTTTTAAGGAACTTCCTTCGCCCATGAGGTCATGCTGTTTTTGGGAAATGATCTTCAAACAGTCAAAGGTCAGTCAACCAACCGACATCAACTTCATCAAATATCATTTTCGATATCTCTACGACGTTCTTCTTTGGCACATCAAATCCCAGCTGAGCAGCAAACACAAAACACTCACATCGGCTAAAGCCTCACATCCCGGAGGCTACCACCCGCGCCCGCGCTGAACACCGAGGCTACAACCAACCGGAGTGGCCTTACCTGGTTCCCGCGGTGCTGGGCGCCCTGATCGACGGCGCCGCGATGCCGCTGTGCACCGTGGCGCTGGTCGGCTCCATGGAAGGCACCGCGGAGCACGGAGGGCGGTGGAGCAAAGCGGGAGAAGACCGCGGGAATCGGGCTTTTCTGGTCGAGTCAAGCGGGTGGTCGAAACCGGGGGTTCAAAGGAGGAGAGGTGGGAGGTTCTTTGGGCCAATGAGGAGGTGGGAGGTGGTGGATGAATGACAGAAGATATCCATTTGTTTGGGGGTCGTGTGGTTGCTGATCAGAGGAAAACTTTGAATGTTTAAACACGGTTTCGGTGGCCGAAGTAAGATTGTTGATTGGACGATTCATGCAGTTTTTGGTCGACACTTTAATGAAGTTAATAACTTTTGTTGCAGAAGAGGCTGGGTTACACGCGGATTTGAAGGTCATACAGCTTTGCCAGATCTACCCTGACGATCTCATGCATCCAGGGAATCCCTCGGCGGCCTCATCTCCCCCAGTCCGCCCCCGGCCCCATCGAGCGAGCGATGTCAGGCTTCTTCAAGGAGAAGGAACAGATGCGAGAGGAGTTGCAGATGCCCGGACGAAGAATTACTCAGTCCCTGCAAGAATCATATGGACCGACATGGATGGCATGGCCAGGCCCAGACAGGACTCGGATGACCATGTCCTGAAGACCAAAACCGGTGGTGAACCACTTGACTTATGGACGAAGACTCCATACCCTTGACATGACCATCGAGTAGCGTCACAAGTCCTTCACACCCTTGCTCTACCCCTCCTGCTTTCGTCACGTGGCCATGTGCTGCCGATCCTTTGGTCCTCGGGAGTTGATCTTTGGCTCCTCCAACATGGTTCCGTTCCCCATAAGGAGCACTTCTGGTTCCGTTCCCCTTGGTGTTTTGTTCCACATAGTTGACATAGTTGACATATTGCCACGTAAGGTGTGTTCTTTTGTCGCCACTTACTGGTGTGGTTTTGCCCCATATGGGACCGGTTGGTCCGCCCACGAGCCCTGAGCTATAGAGCACCCAGTCCCAGTCGAAAAGATGGTGACATTTGTGGGGGGGAACGGCTCCAGTTATGATCAAAACATATCAAAACTAGTTAACAACCATGTTTAAGCTCAACAAAGATGGATTCTTCTTTGACAATTCCGGTTTCCAAAGTGGCAAGATCCCGGGGCCCCTCTGACAGCTCCGTGGGGCCGCCAAACGCCGCCTACGCATGCCTCCGCGCCCAAGGATGATGTGCGTCATCTTTGCCTCTTGGTTCCATCGACGTATTGGGAGACCCAGACACGACCCATTTGGCTTCACAAATAGACATAGACAGACTGTCGCACATCCCAGGTTGGAGCCGACAATCCCAGCTTGGCGTTGATGTTTTTTGTTTTTAATATCCGGTGAAGGAATCAATCTCACTGATTTGCAGGGATCATTTTGCTTCTGATCGTAGTTTTGACAAATCTTGACGCAAGGAATGAATACGTATAGCACAGGTGCCTCTAAGGGTTTCCCTTTCCTTTGACTTTGAAAGACAGACAGCCCCCCCTTGACCCGCGCTGTGTTTGCTAGAGCTGACTTCCTCGCTACCCACCTCAAACAAATTCACCTCTAATTACTACAATAACATACAATATCGCTCTATAATTTATACGAACACTCGTTTAGTATGAAAGAGATGAAGTTTCTCGTTTAGTATGAAAGAGATGAAGTTTCTTGATGTGTCGACATGCTCAGATCGCAAAAGCTCCTGAAACCCAAAGCCTTCTGGTAGGGCTGACTTAAAAAGTGTAGTGATAAACTTATATACTTGGACATCCGGGTAGCACGCATGACTTTTCCCACAGAAGTGAGGAACCTCTTTATTTCAGCAGAGGATCTTCCAAAAAGAGCGGCTGCCACCCCATAGGACTCTGTGTGCCGTCTTTGTTCCACGACTTCTGGACGATCCCCAAGCTGGGTGGAAGATGTTGATTTGTGCGAATGGAAGTGCAGCGACACGTATAGTGCAACTTGTACATATATATGTACCATATGTACTTTGGCTCAAGGATCAAGCGACTAGAAAAGGTGCGGTTTCCGTTCCGACGCTACGCCGCTTATGGATCGTCAGTGATAGCTTCAAACTTCGCTGATTAAGATCCACTCGCAGGTTATCAGCCGTACGCGCTCTTTATAGCCGTACGAGCTACACGAGACCAAGAACAAGACTAGTCATTACAGAAACCTGCAATGTCAAGCTCAGGAGGAAATGGAAGCGAACCCTATTCATTCGCTGCTCCTGGTGGTCCCAACACCATTTCGTCACCAGACTCTACAATGGGTACTGATTCATCAGCAAATGCTGACGTTATCACTATGCCTACTGGATCACAAATCTCGGAAAGATCCGTGCCACCGGCTCGGAATCTGACCGATCTTGCACCCGTAGGACCAAGAAGATCGATGAGAGCTACAACAAGATCTACATCGCCTATAACGTCTACCGCGAGATCCCCAAGAAGGAGTATAGAGAAGAGACGTGACGATGATAGAGGAACAAAAGAGCAAAGAAGAGAGATTCAGCTGGGTGAAGAATTGAGATCGGCGAGAAACGCATACAATTTTCTTCATGAAGAATATGAATGCATCCAAGCCGGATACTCACGACTACACCACGAGGCTGAAGTGGAGTTCAGGCAAATGTCTGACTACAACAGGAAGATGCAGGAACATCTACAAGAGATGACACAGGAAGATGAAGGAGCGACAATAAGAATTGAAGAGCTCGAACACAAGCTACGCTTGGCGGAATCGACAGCTGAACATATCTACATGAGATATCAAGAGCTTGCACAAGAAACTCATCAAGAACATTCAGAGCTTGAATCTGTGAAAGCAACGAAGGACAGAATGTCCCAAGAGCTTCAAGCAGCAATTGGACACATCCAAGAACAGAATGAATCTTCATTGGCGATCAATAGAAGATCAAAAGCCATTCAGGATGAGAACACAGCCTTCGTCGGAATAGCTGACCAGATACAAGCTAGAATGATTGCGCTACAGGATGAGAATGTCAACATGCACGAGGTGATCCAACACCAGAGAGAAGAACAATGGAACAGTGAGGTCAGGGAAAGACGTCTTCAACACAGTGTTCACTCATCTCAAGATCAGAGCAATCAGGAAGCTATGGTTATTGATCATCTACGAGGTCAACTAGCTATGGCACGTGGAGCTGAACTCAACGCGAGAGCGGAGATAGAAGAGATGGAAGTGGGCATGAGGATGGAGATATTTGTATGCCAGACTGAAGTCTCTGCTAAAGAAATGGCAGAAATGAAGGCGAGCCACCATGAATACGAAGCAAACGTCGCAAAGGAGGTTATCGCAAAAGGAGAAATATTCAACAACGAAGTCCTAGAAGGTTCCATCCGTGAACGACAACAGTTGAAAGACGCCAACCTCGCTCTATCCGAAGCCAACGCACAGCTGAAAAGAGAGAATATGATGAGAGCTCCTATGTTCGGCGATGATGGTGCTGAAATTCAACAGAAGATCAGAGAACTGGAGAATGCACTATTGGAAAGCCAGAAGGAGACAAAGAATGTCATTATGGAAAATGCGAAATTAAAAGCAGAAGCACGAATGGCACCCATAGTCTCTCGGTACAGCAAGCGTCCTAGTTCCAGAGACCGCGGGTTACCAACCCACGCGTCCGAGGAAGATGAGGTTCGGAACGCAAAAGAGGAGGCGAAGCACTACAAGGACGGGTACAATGAAATGACAGAGAGCCGAGATGAGATGTATGAATGGTATGCCGAAACCCACAATGAGTACGCCGAGGAAAGGGAGAAATCAATTGAGCTATCCGAGGCGAACAAATCATTGAGGGACAAGATTTCAGAAGCAGAAGCATCCTCTTCATCTCGTCTTGCACCGGCAACCTCTACAATCATGAAAGTATCGAGGAAGGAAGAATCAAAGATAAACGTTCCGTCATGGCCCAGGATCAATGATCTTGGACTATGGAAGGCAAATCTCATTCAATCGATCATCATTGCGGCCAATGATTCAGATCAAGAGCCCTGGATCGACTGGATCAAAGAAGCCATGGACGATCCTGATCCGGACAAGTTTGTCGACTCAGGAGACCAAAGATTCCATTCAATCGATGCCAAACTCGGCCTAGCTCTTACCAAGGTCGTCATGGATGCGAAAGATGATGGTTCAGGTGTAGCTATGAAGTTGAGGACGAGGATCAATGCAAAAGGGAGAACATCAAGCCTCATAAAGGGAAGAGAGGTCCTAGCCCTGATCCTTATGAATTTCAAGACAACATCAAATGTGGAAGTCTTATATACTTCAATGCACCTCTACCAACTAGAATATCAAGGAGACAAGAACTTATCGTTGTTCTTCCACACTTGGGATGAGATTCTGGCAGGAATGAAGCCCGTTGACGTCCCGAGCGACGAAACTCTTCGGGATCTCCTATGGAGAAAGATCAGGAACTCAAACCTCATGGCATACGACACCAGCGCCTACAACAGCATGAACGACGATGATGCCAAGAAGACATACAAACATCTACGTGATATGATCAGAAGGCACATCGAACGGCAAACTGAAGACAGGATGATCCTGGAAAAGGAGAAGGCAGTGAAGAATGTGGCCAATATCTTTCAGAATCTCAAACCAGGCGGACCTGCTCCAAAACTGAAAGCTGCACCAGCTGATCCGAAGAAGAAACCAAAAGGGCAACAAGAACAGGTTGTCTCAGAAGACGCTGCTGCAGTGAAGCCGAAACCCAATCCCAAGAAGCATCCTGAAGACAAGAACAAAAAGGGAAAGGGGAAAGGTAAAGGTGATGGAAAGGATCGCAGCCGAAGTCCGAGTACAGACAAGAAGAAGATACCATGCAAATACTTCGTGAAAGGTAACTGCACTATGGGGAAAGATTGCCCATTCAGTCACAAGAAACCCAGATCACCATCCAGAGGATCTTCTGTCGGAAAGAATGACAAGCCAGTATGTTGGATGTGGATTCGAGGAACTTGTGACAAAGGGAAGGATTGCAAGTTCTACCATGACCCAAAAGCCTCTCCTAAGAAAGGGATATCTGCACCAGCTGACTCAGGAGACGATAGGCCAAAGCCCAAGGCAAAACCCAAACCGAAGCCTAAGGCGAAGCCTGGAGCCCCAGCCATTGACGGTGAACTCTTCATGGACGAATCCGAAGATGAAGGGATTGCTGCATCCGCCAAGGCAAGAGAAGGAGGTGCAAAAGTATCCTTTGATGAAGAGACTTGTGAGATCATGTTGAACGAAGCGATCTACTCAGTCAGGAACAAATGGAAGGTAGTAGAAAGGAAACCTCTACGTCCAGACATCAAACGATACGATGAGAAAGAGCTCACCTGCTACACGAGGAAAGAACAAATCAGATTTGAAGAAAAGGTCGCAGAGGCAAGAGGCATATTGATGGTCCCCTACACTGAGATCAAGAGGGTCCGAATACCAGTTGGACCAAAGGGTGACCTAGCGGTCACTATGTCTTTTGACGAAGATGACGGCCTAGTTTTCCATCATAAAGTCATTCCTCATGTATGCGAGGGAAAGAAAGATCATGCAGACACAAAGACATTGTCTATTCCAGCCAAAGGGTCAAGAACAAAGTTCATCATGGACACAGGATGTGGGTATGATTTGATATCGAAAGGCAGAGCCAAGAAATTAGGTCTGGAAGTGAGAGAAAGCGACCAATCAATGTCATTCTATACCGCAAATGGAGTGACATCCACAAAGGGAGTCGCCGACATTCATTTCGACGAATTTGACTCTACCTACTCCCCATTCGTCTTAGATGAGTCTCCTTCAGTACTGTCTGTTGGAAAGAAATGCATGGAGGAAGGTTACACATTCATATGGCCAGCCTGCGGCAACCCGTACATGGTTTCCCCGAACTACAAGAAAATCATGTTAGAAGTAGAGGGAAACATCCCATATATTGTCAAGGGCAGTGACTTCTGTAACCCCACCGACGATGTACGGGCGGAGATGATCGCAAGGTTCACCCTAGGAGAAGGTGAAGCTGATTACCAATCGGCTTTCATCAACTGTGATGTGGATCCTCAAGGCGTCATGTGTGATGATGACGACCTCCCTGTGATTGAGCCTCCAAAAGTCAAAAGACGAAAGAGGAATAAGAAGTTCAAGGCATCTCCTGGAGAAGAAGATGAGGTAGGATCAGATGTCGCCGGAGACAGTGAACCAGAAGCTGACGATGATGATGCAGATGACATCGAGGTGGATATTGTTGACGGTGCAAGCAGAATGGTGAGAAGAGGAACTCTGAAAGCAGATGCCAGGAAAATCGAACATCTACTCACACACCGT